ATATGCAAACTAAACTTCCCCTGTTTTAAGTTTGAATCTGTTACCCCTTGTCCTGTCACTACGGTCCCTAATGAAGAGTCCCTCCCCAGCATCCTTATATCCCTTCAGATACTGGAAGGCTGCTATCTCCACACAGCCTTCTCTTCTCCAGGCTGAACAGCCCCAACTTTCTCAGCCTATCTTCATATGGGAGGTGCTCCAGTCCCCTGATCATCCTCATGGCCCTGCTCTGGACTTGTTCCGACAGTCACATGTCCTTTCTATGTTGAAGACACCAGAACTGTGCACAATACTCCGAGTGAGATCTCAAGAGGAGAGTAGAGGGGCAGGATCAATAATCAAAAGTAAGTTCTGTTGTATTATGTATGAAAACGAAACAATATAAGGATGTTACAGGAAAGAAAGTAGGGGCTAGAATTTCTCATTCACTACAGTTTTACCTCCACTGGAGATAAAAAGATATGATCTCAGCTGATTTAGCATGGTTCAAGTTAGTCCTGCCTCCTAACAGGGATGCAGTTTTCAGACTAAGACCAAAAAAGAAATGATGCTGTTCCCAGAGGAAGACGGTGGGGGGGGGCAGGGAAGGGAGTAGGGGAAGGAAAAAAAACTGTTTCTGCTATAAAAAGCTACCTTTCGGTTAAGTACTTGCTAAACCACACTGTACTTTGACAACTTTTCATCCATGTTTGAAGTCAGTTCTGTAAACTTGACTATATTGCCACCATGAGTGGTATCTGCAAGACATGAGGAGCAAAAGCAAGTCCGTGAGCATCTGACACGCCCAGCCCAGCAAATGCTTAGCTATAAATATGTAATCTTTTGAAATTACTGAAGAACAAAGTTGACTGTCTGCAGGACCCGGTCACATGTGCAGTGGAGTACAAACACAGCTTTACTACAAAAAAACATATCTGATGATTAACTATTTAACTCATAAGTTTAATACGTTTTAAACACACTTTTTTATAATTACTTGCTGAGACATTAACAGGGGAGAGTTGTCATTCTTTATATTCCATCTCTAGTGCCAATGTTGCCTGTTTCTAAATCCAATCTTTACTAGCCCTCTGCTGACTACAACAGACTGCACTTAGTAGGCATTGACCTGCAAGCCCACAGTTATGCTGAAAACTGACAGACTCACCAATGGTCATTATGCCAGCACAGCAGGTACCTGGCAGAACAACCAACAATCCAAAGAAGACACAAAAAGATTACTGCTCATAATACTTGTTTCTGTAAATGCCACAAGCTACTTGAAGATTCTTTTATCTGACCAATCTTCTCTTTGAAAGAAAAGGAAATGTGTAGTCAAGTGATAAAACAACGTGTTCCCATGTTTAACCATAGTGACGAAAACAAACTTACAGTCTGGTTTTCAATATCTGGTTGCAGATGAGAAATGTTATTAGCTGCAAAAATAACAGTGTAAATTGTCACATATTCTCCCCACCCAGAGCTCCTTTGTTAAAGAGATTAAGCAGACATAAAACTAGAACCCTGAACTAGAAACACAGGAACGTGTTGTTCTTTTTTCCATCTTTTTAACCGTGCTTTTGAGACATCCATTTAGCATCACAAATACTACTGCTACAATTACGCATCAGCATTTGAAATGCATGTTGTATTATATGCCTTTCCCTGGCTGGAAAATACTTGAAACAGTCACACAGAACAGCAGTCTATGAAAAGAAGCAAGGGCTGAGAAGACAAGTCTATGTAAGAATAAACTTCCAGGAAAAGGCAGGCAGAATAGACCAAGTAGTGCCACTAACGCATTTTATGTGTGGAAAACAATAAACATTTTGTAGAGTTTCAGTAAAAACTCTAAGTATAGAGAAAAATCAGCTTGTCAATAACACCTAGCAGAACTCCCAAATCCAAACATGTGTATGTGTTACCCTGATGAAAAACTCATAAGCTCTAATCATTAGGGAAAGTGTTTGAGGAGTCATAGGATCAGAAAGCTCAAAATACATCTGATGCACCTCTAAGGAGAGATAAAAATTGAAGTTGGGGGATCCTTTATGCTTTGTTAGCACCATTAAAAATACCACTTACATATTAATATAATCTAGTTACTTACAAGGCTAGAAGAAACAAGACTTATTTCTGATGGCTTTAGCTTTCTTTAGATCCAAGATCATCAAAGCGTTACTTTATCCCAAGCACTGCAACTCAGGCTGAAGAGACGTCCTGAACCCTCTCAGCAAGCAGACTCTGTCAGACAAAACATGCGGTGTTCAGAAAGAAGCAACAGATCTGTTGACGCTCAAATACAAGCTTTAAGCTCTGGCTAAACACATAAAATACACTTGCACACCTCCCTCAGCAGTTCAGCTTTTTTAAAGGCTTTGTTGGTTTTTAAATCAGACGTGCTATCCACTTTTTCACAACAGAAATGCACGTCTAGAGCCGTGGGAAACTTGCAGGTCCCACAGCTGCTACCTGCGGCCGCCTCAGAGGGGTCTTGGTGCACCCGTGCTCATGGCAGCAGTTGCTAAGTTAAGCACTCGCACGGGCAGCCGAAAGGCGAGGCTTAAGGCTTCTTCCCCTAATGTCACGAACGAGGGCCCACTGTTCCAACCCCTACGCCGCTAGGTTCCCACCGCCGCCGGACTCTGCGACACTGTCCCGCTCCCCACGCCCTGCAGCCCCGGGAAACTCCCTTTTCCCCCAGTATTTCGTATTTCCTACCAGAGCCACTTATCCCGACATTATTAACCCGTTTCGCAGCGATGTTTCTCGGCAACCACCCCCAACCCGCACCTCCTGCAGTGGCCCCCTCGGAGGGTGACTGGGCGGCGAGACCCCGCGCTCCACTCGCCGCCCTCCTACCTGATCCCCTGCCCAGGCACCGGGGCTGCGCAGGGCCGCGTCCCACCGCACCTGCCCTTTTCTGGGCTGCAAGAGTGCCTTTTCCGTCAAGGCAACATCACTTCCCGTGAGGCCCAGGGCGAGCACGGCCCCTCCCGTCCGCGGGCAGCACCGGCAGCACCGCCCCGGCCCAGCCCCTCCGCCCCGGGGAAGCGGAGCGAGCGCACCTCTGAGCGTCAAGGACGGCGCTGCTCCCCGCTTGCCTTGCGCCAAGGCCGGTTTACGTTAAGCAGGCTGCTCGCCAGCCGCACTCCCCCGCTCTTCTGAAAGGACAAGCGCCGCTAATAAAAACTCAGGCGAGGAAAAGTAGGTTTAGAAGGGAAAACGCGAGCTGCCAGGCTCCAGTCCGTCACCGTGGATCCAGCGAGTTCTTCCTGCCACCTGCTGGCTGCCTGCCCTCGGAAGAGGAAAGCGCCTCCTCGACTCCATTAAAACACTTTACATCCGGCAGTCTCCAGAACCCGGCAACCACAGCCTGCAGCTGGGCTGCAGCAATAACCCTTTCTGTGTTCGGACATCCGGTTTGTTGAGACTTCAAAATCAACTGCCATCCAGCAATTACGGTTACAAAGAAACTGCCTCCTGCACTTCAGTTACACCTTCTTTAAAACAGCCTTCTCAATACGTACTGGTCTGGTAAACAGAGGAAGCAGCTAGAGTCACCACTGCAGTTGTGTGTTTCCATTCATCAGACTTGTGACATTTTCTTGTGTCCAAACAAGATTTATCACAGACTCAACTCTACCTCCCAGCCCACCTTCTGATGCTGCCCTCTCACCCCAGCTTCTGTAAAGTCTGCCTACAGCTGTCACATCGTTCCTGGCTTTAAATGAAAGCACGTCCAGGGAAAGGATTTCTTACCTCATGCTGCCCAAAACAAGATTCTGTGTTTAAAACCATAATCTAAGAGAAGTTCCTCTCAAGATCTGCAGTTTGTTTCTTTTTAGATGGACTATAAAGTCTTATCTACTGATCTCGGTAGCCTGAGTTTCAGATTCTGTCGTCAGACTGATCCAAACCTATTGCAAGATGAGCACTGTCCTACTGAGCTACACGCTGAAGCACCTCTCCACGAGCAACCTTTCAGGCAACCTTAGCTACAAAATAGCCACCCTAACCTCATTCTGTCAGAAATGAAAGATAGGTGTGTAGTACATGCGTGTATGTGCATGCATACAGGTACCAGCTGAAGACACCAAAGCTGGGTGCAGTTCCCTCTTCAGTCACAACTGCATTCCCAAAGGAGATGAAGTATTAAGAACTGAAACTGTGACAAGGAGATAAATCATTTGGAGGATTAGAGGCAATCCCAGAACCTCGTGAAGTGTAACTTAACAATTACCAGTTTCTTTTTCCAGTTCCCCGGTGGTTATTTAAACTTAGACGTGAAGACATACCTTTGAACAATCAGAATTTTATATGTATTTCGACATTCACGTCCCTATGGGCTGGTACCAAACGCACACGTACGCAGCGACACATTCAAAGGGCGGATCGCCTCAGAGCGGGGCCGAGCCCGGAGGAAGCAGTCCGCAATAGCAGGGCCGCTCCCCGGCAGGCGGCGAACACTCCCAGTTGCTGGCGGGTGTGGGCTCCATTTACTTCAGCAGGAGGCGCGGGCCTGCGCTGGAGGCGGTACCGGGGAGCGGCGGCAGGGCAGGGGCACGGCTCACACGAGTCCCTCAGGACCTCTTCTCCGGCTCAGCGACCGCCGGCGACCCCGCAGTGGCGTCAGGGGGCTGCTCCGGGCCGGGCGGCTGGAAGATGGGCCGGTAGATGTAGAGCCCGCTGACTACGCCGAGAGCCACGGCCAGCGCCACCTGCGGTAGCCGGCCCCGCATGCCACCAGGCGGCGCTGCGGCACCCGCACCCACACACGCGCGCGCGCGACGCTTCTCCGAGCCTTTCGCCCCCGGGCGGGGACAGGCGAGGCGGGACGGCGGCGGGAAGCACGGCAGGGAGTGCGGCGAGCCCCGGCCCGGTAGCACTTCGGTCCACGGCCCCGAGCAGCGCCGTGCCAGACCCGGCGCCCCTCACCTGGAGGCAGGGAGACCACAGAGCGGAGACCTCCCGTTCGCTACAGTGATCGGAAGGAAGTGGCGGCGGCGCGGAGGCGGTGCATGCGCCGCTGCCCCAGCCCCGCCCCGCCGATGGCTGCTGCTGGTGGGCTGCTGGCCCGGGCACGGCGGAAGGAAGCGGTGCGGCTCCGAAAGCGGCGGTCGGTGCTGTACAGCGACCCCGGCGCAGGCGCCGGGCAGGCAGGAGCAGGTAAGCGGGGCGGGGCGGGGGAGCGGCGGCCCCAGGGGGACCCGTGACTGACAGCCTTTCCCCTTGCAGGCGCTGCGGGCGGGCCGGCGCGGCTGCTGGTTCTCGCGGTGGCGCTGCGGGCGCTCAACTGCTTCCTTGTGCAGACCAGCTTCGTTCCGGACGAGTACTGGCAGGCGCTGGAGGTGGCGCATCGCGTGGTCTTCAAATATCCTTCCCCACTCCTCACACCGCCTTTGCGCGGCAGGAGCGCCCGGGACCCTGCAGCTCTTAGGTACAGAGGTAGATGCCTCCACCCGGGCAGGTCTCGAATGAAGCTTAACTGCATCTGTTCGTGTATATCCTTAACATTAACAATTATGGCCACCTCACTTGGGAATGGGCACATGGCTTAAGGAGCTACTCGTACCCACTTATCTTTGCAGGCATCTACAAAGCTTTGCAGCTGCTGGCTCTGGATGATGTTCAGCTGCTGGTGAGTGCATCTGCTACTAAAATTAAATTTAAAAGCATTGCATTTAAAATTCAGCGTGTGTTTATCATTGCCGAGGTAAACTACAAAGCCTTGAATCTGGCAGTTAGAGATGTCTGAGCACAGAGATCTCACTGAAGCATTTCACATGAGTAAACAATGCTTTCATAGGTCTCCCATCACAGCAGTCATGCCTGTGACTGCAGAGCATTATTCTTGGTCTACATCACTCTCCCTGAATTTCATACTGATACTGTTTGTCACTGCATCGTAATTAATCAGTGGTTCAGTTTTCTGAAGTGTTTAATAATACATATTTGTACTAAGCTTACTGTAACAACAGCCTCTTTTGATTACATTGGAGATAAATGGCAAAAATTTGTATTTCGAATTTCTAAACACTTTCAGTTGAACTGTACTTCTGTTTTAGCAGAAATGCTGGTCTCACCAAAGGGCCTTGCTATTAAAAAAACGGTAAAAAGCTATAGTGAATATTCACCGATTGACCATTTTCATGTCTGAACAGTCAGTCACTAATTCAGCACCCCTCTCTTCAGACTTGGAAGTGAACAAGTTTGTTGCAAGTGAAACTTTCTCTCTGCTGACACAGATCTGGGTCCCTAGACTTGCACAGGCAGTGCTGGCAGCTTTTGCTGACGTGAAGCTTTACTCACTAGTGCGACACCTCGAAAATGCAGAAACAGCCAAGTGGGTGGTGAGTCTTGGCTTTTAAAAACAATTATGCATGTTAATAAACACTGTTTGCTGCAGTGTGAACAACAGCAAAATGACAGTAAGTCATTTATCATTATCTCCAGAACAAGCATTATCACCTTCATTTAAGCAACAGTATTTAACTTTTCTCCCTGTGCATAAGTTTGTTCATCATTCTTTTCAGTACTTCTGCCAGCTGTGTTCCTGGTTTACATGGTATTCCTGTACCAGAACTCTGACAAACACCATGGAAACTCTTCTAACTATTTTTGCACTTTCCTACTATCCAATAAGAGGTTCAAAGATGGGGAGCAGGTGAGCAACTTTCTACTAATAGTACACTAAATGTTTTGGCTTGGCATAACACCAATCTACTGACACCGTTTAAAATGCTAACTTTTATCTTAAAATATGAGGCAATCAAAATCACGTGATTTTCTGTAGCAAGAGCTCTAGATCATGGGCAGAAGAGCAGTTGTATTTCCTCTAAATTGAAGCCATGATAGAGCTGGTATTTACAATAACTATTATCCAGTTCCCTTGTGCAAATTGCTACTTTATGGGAAACTTTAAACTGGACTTTAAAGGATTGGAATTTGTGGTAACTCAGGAAAAGACAGCTAGAGCTTGTTTGGGTTCAGGTACAGGTGAATTCATAGCAATTACTTTCCTTACCAGCTATCTATTTTAAGCAAGTGTGTGCTTCTAGTTAGCAAATCCACTGCAAATAAAGCAGTTCTGTAGTTGGCAGCCTTCCAAGGAGAAGTAGCTTTTTTTTTTCTTGTATCTGAAAGATACAAGAGTTATTTGCACTGAGAGAATCAGAGTTATTTGTAGCATGAAAAACTTTGGTCAGAGACATGATGGTATTTAAATTGTTGAGATGTCACCATCTGCAAAAGGACTGACCAAGTGTTTTGGTAAAGGTATGTTTTTCTTATGTTCCCTCATTCTAGCTGCAAATATTTAGCTTTGATAGCACTTGCAATTATTATTCGTCCCACTGCTGTTATCCTGTGGATACCTTTGGTCTTCAGTCATTTTTTTCAAGAACAGAGGAAAGCAGACTTTATCCTACACAGCTGCATTCCAGTAGGGTAAGTTCTTTCTGAATTTAAACTCTGACTCTGCACAACTGTATTTTAAGACTAATTTTACTACTGCAAAGGGAAACAACCCAAAACATCTGATTTAATAAACAAAGACAAAAATAGGATCCTTTGCAAAAGCTGAAAGAAGGAACACACTTTCTTTCAATTAATGTATATGTTGCAAAACAGCACTAGAATAGATTTCATGAGGGCAAGCCATGAACACCATTCCAGCTTAATCTGGGATTGTGCCAAGGATACCAGGTGACAGCCAATGGCCACAAGTATGGATAATTGCAAAAAGGATTAGGAATCAGGGAGTTTTGACAGCTATTTGGAGAAGAGTAGAATCTGATGCAAAAGCAATCCAACCAATATCAGTGCAACCAACTTTCCATTTTTGCAGATTGGTCACAATAGGAACTTCTTTAATAATTGACCGTGTGTTTTTTGGTGAGGTAAGTTGTTTTAAATTTGATTTACACGGAGAAGGTTGGGTTTTAGCATCTTAACACGGGCAAATGTTTCAGACTTCTCTAGCTTGTTACTTCTGTGAATATTTGGCCTACCATCTCTAAATACATCTTAAGCCATAAACCCCCTTAAACACTGACTATTCAGTTATTTTGAATGATGGACTGTTACTTAAAATTGGTATATGCTCAGCTCTCAATAAATCAACAGTTACCAACAAATTACAAAACTTACACATGCCTGTGTTTAATTGCTAAAGGTAGGAAATCTGTGTGACAAGTCCTAGTAGAATATAAGTATGAATGAAAATACTGTATCATTTAAGGCCAGTGATAACTGTGTAATTCAGTGTAGCTGCTGGTTTTCATTCTGGATTTGTATTTACCTTCTCCCCTTCCCTCAAATCTCCCAGTGGGTACTGGTTCAGCTGAACTTCTTGAAATTCAACGTGCTGCAAAATTTTGGAACGTTTTATGGATCTCATCCTTGGCACTGGTACTTCACTCAGGGACTACCAGTCATCTTGGGTACCCATCTGCCTTTTTTTATTCATGGCTGTGTGCTGGCACCAAAAAGGTATCGCATCTTTCTAATGGCAGTGATATGGACAGTGTTGGTGTACAGGTAATTTCTCCTAAATCTAACTACTGGCTTTCACTGGTTATGTTCTTTTCAAAGCTAATGTCACCTCTAGAACACAAAAAACACGGTATTCAGGTTAAGTGATAGAAAACTTTGAACTATTCAAACACTCCAAGAAATGCAGCCAGTTATTCAATAGTGTCTAGAATTTTACGTAATCTTATTTCTTGTATTGCTACCAAGCATGAATTTTTAGAATTGATTAGACCCTTACAGAATCAAGTAATTCTGCATCAAACTCAATGGAAGAGTGGTGGGGGGTGGGGAAATGACCCAAGCCCTAACAAACCCAGCCAACCAATTACTTAAGAAGTGTTTAAGCAATAATTGATCTAGTTAGAAAACTATACTTACTAGATGCCTGTTAACAAAAATACCATTGCATTTGGTTCTTTCATACTTTCCCAGTAAGATGAGGTGTTCTTAGGCCTCTAAACTTACTCTGTTCACAAGTCTACACACAGCTGCTAAAATCTGTCATATGACAGACTGTATGTGTCATTTTAAGGTGAGAAGTACAGAAAAGGTAAACTGTTTCTAAGCATCTGAATTAAATGAGAGACACTGAGACAAGAAAAGATACAGCAAACTAATAAATACCAAATAATACAAAGTGATAAATGATATTAGATTACATATTAGCAGAAGATAGCGAAACGGTAGAAAGGCCACAAATGCCATCTCGTCTTACTGTCTGACTCAGAATTGGGTGTAGCTCTATTGGATTTAGACCTTTTTTACTCCCTCAGTCTTCCAAGAACCTGTTTGGTTACCTGACATGAGTCTTGCAGTAATCCCCAAAAGCATCTCCTAAATTGGCTTGGGAAATTGTGTCAAGTTGTATTAGCAGAGGTGAATGTTTCTTTGTTAGATATAAATGGGTACTTGAATCTTAGCTTCTCATCCACACTTTTTATTGTGTTTTATTACAGAAAGCAAATTGGTGAAGTACTAGCTAAGTTGCATCTTACAGTCATAGATTCAGCTCACTTAATTGCTAGAGTAGTAGCCGGGTAATTTTATTAGTGCTTGATTTAAAGTAACAATTTAACTTAATGCACTCATTAAAAAGTGACAATTCGGATTTTTATTCTAAACTGCTGCCATGCCACAAGCTTTTTAGTACATGCAGGTGCTTTTTTCCTCAAGCCCTCCATGCTCTAAAAAACACATTTTGTCAACAGAACTGATGCATGTAACTGTCTCGCTGTAGTGTTATATGTTTTATTACAGCACGCTGAGCCACAAAGAATTCAGGTTCATCTACCCAGTACTGCCATTTTGCATATTTTTTTGTGGTAAGCATCATTTCAAGTATCTTGCAACCTTGCCTGTATAAAATTTTTACCTAAAGAGAGACCATTAATAGTCAATATAGGTATTTGACAAAGAATTCTTAAAACTAGCCCAACCTTTTCTTACAGCTAGGAAAAGAAAGTTAAAAGAATTAGGAACAGAGTGACAGAAGCACAGATGGAGAATCCTTAGCACGGATAAAATAATACAAGAATTGCTTCAGTGACTTCTAACTTTTTAGCAGTGACACCCTCGCAGTGAATTTTGTTCCTTGTCTCCTCTGTAGTAGTTTTCCACCCAGTTCTCTCAAATATGCTCAACAAATGCTTTTGAGTATTGATCAAAACCAAGTATTCAAAACTTAAAATTATCGTTGATAGATCCAGATGTGTTAGTAGATGGTGCCAGAAGTATTTTATATTTAAGAAAACTAGGTATTAACTACAGTAGTGTATCTATAGGAAAAGTAAAGACGTAAAGTCTAGTAGGGTGAAAAGTTACAAAGGAAAGATTAAAACTTCTGAAACATGAAGCTGCATTGCTGTAGTTTAAATACAAGTTCAAAGCAGGTGAACCAATGAAATCTGTAGTTTTCTTTAACCTGCTTGGCTAGTCTAAACAAAAGTAAATCTTACTTCAATAATTCTGCTCTCTGATGAGATCAGATACGTAATATGTCTTGGCTTAGTTCAAGAGCAAATTTAAGATGAACCAGTTCTACCTCACATGCAGAAAAAAATTCCAGTCAGACCACTATTGTTTGTTAATATCCCTCAACTTTCATGTCTATAAGGGACTGATCTGCGCAATTTCTCAAGAGCTAATTAATCACATTTGGATCCTGTAGTAAAGAAAAAAATAACTAAAGTTATTTCTGGTAACTCAGTGGTTATAAAGCAGTCTTTAAACTGCTCAAAACATTATAAATAAAAGCAGAAAAAAAACCCACATGAATTTTGAAATCTTTCCCAAGCACAATTAGATTAAGAGTGTTTCACAGAAGTAGAAAAAAAAATGCCTATAATATTTCCACTCGAGCTTAAACCACAGAGTAAATAGGGGACTTTGTTTTCACCTGAGATTAAGATCTGCAATTTGTCAGAACAGACCAGCTGAAGACTAACTTAAATTACTTGTTACTGCCTTCTGAAACAGGCCTATTCTAAGTTGTTTCTGTGATTCAGTAAAGGTGGTCACAGGGCTAGGCTGCATACAGTATTTTTATCTCCTAATACTGACAAGCACATGACTTGACGAGTGTTTCCACACTGGCTGCAATATGAAGCTGCCTTCTGTGCCAGATTCATCTAAGTTGGGGTTGTGAGAAACAGATTTATACAGCTATCTCCCACCAGAAGAAATGTCTCGCCCTGGTATTGGCTCCTTCAAGAAAAGCAGGGAGGAAAGGGCAGGGATGAGAGATGGGAAAAAGATAGAGGGGTAAGCTTTTCCAAGGATACTAGCCTAAAACCAAGTAACAAAGGAAGACCATCACAGCCATACCAAAGCACATGTAGTTGCCATTTATTCTGCCTCTACTTGGACAAGAGTGAATCAGAACACATCAGTAAGTCAACACATATCATTCATCCAAACTACTAATGGACTGTTTTTCCCTATGAGAAATTTAAGCTCTAAAGAGACAAAGCTCTGGCTTTGAAATCATACTTCTGCACTTCAAAAAACAGGTATGGGCTTAACATTTACACTGTTAAATACAATAGTTAATAAAGGCAAAGTCTAATCTTTGAATTCCCATTCAAAGAGCAAAGACCAAGAACACTATTAAATTACCTCAAAGCAAGGTATTTTGTTACCAACCAAGTAATGGTTTTCTAATAAGTTATGGTGCTTTCAAAAATATTGTGTGGAACTCTATTTCTTTCTTTCTAAAACCTTCTCAAATGTTTTTATAGGATATTCCTTGAAACACTTGAAAGCATGGAAGAAATCTGCAGCAAGTTTCCTGCTTTTATCAAACTTAGTCCCAGCCCTGTACACAGGCTTGATTCACCAGCGAGGCGCTCTTGATGTTATGAGCCACATACAGCAACTTTGTAATAACTCTTACCAGTCCCAAGCTTTTGTCTTCTTCATGATGCCGTGCCACTCTACTCCATTTTACAGGTATTAAAATAGTTAACAGTGTACTATATTAAAATTCATATATTTAAGCAGAAATTTAGGTGTTTGTTTTTTTTTCCCTAAGGATAGACCTATACAGGAAGTTTTAATTTTTCACACAGCTAATACAGAATGAATAGGGGAAATAGGCCAAATGCTTATACCACAGAATGAAATTTAGTATCTAAGCTATATTCAGCTTTTGTAAAATAGCTTTGTATGAGGATATACAGTTAATCTTATGACTTCTGAAAGTAATTCATACTTCTTCATTTATCTGTAGCAAAGCTAAAGAGTAATTGTTAGAATCAATCTGATCATTTTAAATTCTGCTACTAAAGAGTAATGTAATTACAACATGCAATGACCAAGGTCATTATTCCAAAAAGTTTGTAATAGATCTTGGCAAGTAAACAAATGTTAAAGCAGATACAAACAGTGAAGTTGGTATGGAAAAGTACCTTTTCAAGAAACTGATGTTATGCAGATGGTATTTTTATTAAGATAAATCTGCTTTCTGTGAACTTCTGATAACATAGTCACAACAGTCTGGAGGTGAATCCACTTGTTCTACTTTTCCTTTCATATGAAGTACAGAAGGAAGAAAACGGGACTCTGGGGTAAAAAAAAAAAAAACCTAAGTATTTGATTTTGGCTTTGACTGAGGTATCTTTAAGTGATGAGTCACTGCAAATCTTAGATCCTGGTCAGTTTATCCTGAAGTGTGTTTTGTTTGTCTCTCTAGTCATGTTCACTGTCCTCTAAAAATGAGATTCCTTCAGTGTCCTCCAGACCTAACTGGAAATGAGAGCTATATTGATGAAGCAGATGTGTTTTACTCTGATCCACTTGGTTGGCTTAATAAGGAGTTTTACAATGATACGTTATTGCCCAGTCACTTGATCTTCTTCAGTGTGCTAGAACAGGTATGGTTAACTGCAAAATCAAACAAACCAGTTTTAAGGTCAAAATCCAAAATAAATTAGGGAAGAGTTACAGTTAAGTTTTTTGGAAATTGCTGTCCACAGCTTTTTATAACAGCTTAAATTAAAACTGAACTGTCTAGTCTGTAATACAGATACCATTCCAGCGATACATATACTTCACATTCATGTATGCAATCTCCTCTGTGCTATGTCTAGATGCCATAAAGTAATGTGTTACAGAATTCTTCTCAAGCCATATTAAACCAAATGTGCAGTCTGTTCCCAGAACCATGCACTTTTAAGTAAGCAACAGTGGCAAGTAAAAATGCCTGCAGTTAGACTACCTTTTCATCTCAGTTCAGTGGTGTCTAAATTTCCACACTGGATAGGCTCAATCAGGATTGGTACCTCTTTTTCTATCAGTCTTTCTTAAAATAAAGGATAAAACTTCCAGGGGACAGTTGAATTGATAATTTCAGAGGAGTCTGGAATACTGTTCTGATGTGTCCAGCTGTGCCTTCTGACTGTGGAAACCAATATATGTTCATTTACAGGAAATATCATCATTTCTAGCTTTAAGGGGCTATGAGAAAACAGACACTGTCTTTCACACTCACATTCCTCAAGGACGAACTGGAAGCCATATCTACATTTACAGGAAGAACACTGAAGTGAATCACACCTGAAGATCTGTTTCTAGACTTAAGACCAAATGAGATCAGTTTTGCATAGCAGTACTATGCTTAGAAGATGTACTTCAGAACGGAGAGCGTAGTGAGTCTGAAACCGGGTAAGTCAAATGGGGAAGTCTGATCAGGCAGCCATTGCCTGTCTGGAAACACATAAACGTGTTCTTGAAGGCAACTACAGTAGTAGTGTGGCAGGGTGAGGCTAGTGACCTACGTTATAACACTGGAAAACATTAGGAAGACCAAAGTTACCATATGACTATTTAAGCAATAAAAAAAATCAGACAAGACTGGACCATTTTTATAGCACTGTACAGCTATGCTAGGTTGTTTTATAAATAAACACTTCTACCCACAACGTCTCTTTATTTTGTTCTACAATATGCAGATAGGCAAGACATTTCAAGTGCTTAAATCAGCAAGCTGATTAGAATGCAGCACAGCAAATTCTTCACAATTCAACAGGCTCTTGAACACCCCCCCCAAAGACAAGAAGCAAGTGTAAGATTACAAAACACTAACAAATACATTACCATAATGTAGCCATAATGAAGACCTATTTTTTGAAGGATGAGATGAAGTTAGTATATCAAACACTGGAGTTAATTATTGGTACATTATGCATTACTCAAGCTTGAACTACACTAATGGAATGCAATTAAGCATATTTTTCACACACAAGTCACTGCATGCCTAACTTCTGGAACAATACTGCTGGCACCCAACTATCGCTTCCAAAGAACAGTTAAAGCAACAGTACAGAGTATGCAAATTGGAAAGCTTGAATGCAGCCTTTTAACAGATATTTGTAAAAATCAAATTATTTAGAGAAAAGAACTTGCATCTTGCTGCTTTGTTGAAAACAATTAGTTTCTGGAGAGGATGTGAATTCTAATTTCATTTTTGCCATAAATTACTCAGTATTTGGGATCAAAGGGTAATTGCCCCAATTCTATTTCAAGATTTGCCATGTGTCTTCCATTAGTGCGACCATGTTTTTGCCATTTACCTTCTCTTTTATTACGGTGGTAGTACTTCTGAGCTTGTTTTTCATGTCTGGAATTTTCAGTTTGTGTATAAGAAGGCCTTTTAGGTCGACTGCAAGGAGTAAACAAAAGCTTATTACCAGTCTTACAAAAAGCATCTCTAAAAGCATTTTGAAACACAGTTACATTGTCAAGAGCAGCTTTTAACATGCTGAGTATGACTGAAAAACCCCTAAAATTAGTATCAAAGTAGTCCTTTCTCTTGTAAGCAAAATGGGGGGTGGGAGTGGTATTTGTTTGTTGAAATCACCAACAAGGTGGTACATTTAAAAGAAATCCTTTCTTGAAAGAAAAATGCTCTGCAGCTGCTTGCCCAAAGTTCTTTTTATAATAAAGCCAGGTAAGCAGCTGTTTGATTACCCCTTCTGTGATGCCTGAGTAAGGTCTCAATCTGTTTTTCACTTGCTCTATTCTATTCTGCTCTATAAAAATAATGAAAAACTTCACAAAGCCTCAGGGAAGCAGGCTTTATGCACCATGGGCCCTTCAGGGGTTTTCATGTACAATAACTACATTTATACAGAGAGAGGGGCCACTGATAAAATACTTATGCTTACTGTTGCAATTTTTGATGTAAACAGTGCAATTATACTACATGCTGTTACCATGTGACCAGCATCGCTAGCCTTCTGCTATGCTAAATTAAGACTATTTTCATTCTCAGTATCACACAAACATCTGGATAATGCTATCAGGAAACGAGTAAGTTCTGGTTTTCTGCAAACTGAATTAAAATGCTCAAAATTTAAATATTAATTAAAAACAAAGTTCATTTTAGTGATAAAATAGCAGTATTCAGACTATAAATAAAAACAAAACTTACACCATATGCTTGCCAAAATTGCATATTAAAAAGGCTATTTGGTAGCTGATAATAGGAGTATCATCCTCATGGTTGAACTTTTAACAAGAGAAAGTACTACCTGGCAATCACTTAGTAACTCCAAAGTGGTTAAATGTTCATTTTATGCTGCAATAAACACATGAAGTAATAAGTCCAGAAGAGAAACCTGACTCAGGAGCTGCACCTCAATCTAAATACTAAATATGCTTTGCACTGAATGCCAGCACAGGGAAAAGTCCTATTATGTTTACAAGGACAGATTCTTGTGTATTATACATTAGTTACCTGATCAGAGTAAACAGTAGAACAAGAGACTATATAGCCAATTTTGTAATAGCAATGATATTAAAAGCCACATAAAACATACACAGGTGTTACAGAAAGAACAAGTTCCACACAATATGTTAAGGCTGCTTGCTTAATTTTCTTCCACCAAAGTCGATGCAGTAGAATGAGTACCACAGCCAAGCAGTACATTACAACTGTAGAAGCCCTGAGAATACCATTAAATATGGCAAAGTAATGTAGGAACCAATTCGTGGCAAGGACCTTTGTAAGCAAGTCCGAACAAAATTTAGCTGGTGTCAGAATCTCAACTAAAGCCTACCATTTGAGTAGCTCTGCTCTGAGCACACAGACTCAGTATTACAGTAAGCTATAACAGAGTAGCGAAATTCCTCAAAAGCCAGCAAGGAACATTCTTGCCAGAACGGGACTTTGAGACTACTCAAATATATCCCAAAACCTTGTCATTCAATGAAGGACAACAAGGAAGTCCTAGTTAATGCTTCTCCTGAGATAGTTATTCAATCCCTCAAGCAACCATAGCTGCTCAATCTGAAGCAGTCCCAGTTGCAGTTACAAGGTTTTCTGAAAACCTCAACAGAAATACTAGCTCATATTGCATACAGTGAATTTGTAGTGCCTCCCAGACTAACATCCCACACACAAGATTTATAAGGTACTACAGATCCACTTAACACAATCTAGTATTTCTAATGAGCCCTTCAGAAAGTCTTCTAGCGTGTGTACGTATGTATGCACACAGACACACATGCAAACTACAAGATACACACCAGAAGACTGCCTATTAGGAAAGAGACACTAGTTGACTTTACAAAGACTACTTAATTGTGTTAAGAAGTTCAGGAAACATGGAAACAAACCTGGGTCCATACTGGGGTGAATTATCATAATGAAAGTAGTATCTGTAGATGTATTTGTCCAAATCCTCAAAAACCTTTTCATCACTATTTTGGTATTCCTTCATATCTTCCAGGTAATCCTTGACATCATTAACAAAATCAGTGAAGAGCATCTGGTCATGTATAAATACCCCATTATGAAAAAACTTATCAATGAAATTTTCTAGTTCTCTCCAGTGACGGAAGTTATGTACAACTTGTTGCAAATACTTTTTCATTAGCCGATTAAATTCATCCACCCTGATAGGATCCGATACTCTGTTAAAGAGACTAATGAATTCTTGATGAGCACATTCAAAAATACCAGAGCAGCCCTTTAGGCCAAACTGTTGTTTTCTATTGCACAAAGGATCATTGAAACATTTCTGTGAATCTGTATCTTTTTCAAATGTTGTAAACTGATGTTTTCTTCCATCTCTGAATTCTTTTGCCACGTTAGGTCCCCTGTAATGCATGTGCTTCGGATTCTCATAAGAGGTATGTTCTCGATAAAAAGTTCGAGCTTTCTTACTTGCCTCGTATCTTCTATCATTTGACTTCTTCTCCTTTTCATCAAAGATGTTTTTTGTGGTATCTTTGAAGTGTCTGAATGTAGACTTGACAGAATCAGAGAATTTTTTCAGGTTTTCTTTCACTGCTTCTTTAGCCTGCTTAATCTTTTCTTTATGGTGTCTTACAAACTCTTTAGTGGAATTTTTCATAGCATCAAAAGTTTCCTTGACTGAACCAAAAAATGATTCCTTTGATTTCTTTTTAGTCTTACTTTGCCCCTTAGCACCTTTCTTTTGTCCCTTTTCATACATTTCTTGTTTTTCAGTTTGGTCTTTGGCTTCAACATACAGCTTCTCCCATAAGTCAGAGCGTTGCTGCTCGAAGTTTAGTTTTTTTTCTAGTTCTACTAGTCGTCCTCGCAGAGCTTCTATTTCTTGATTTTCTCTTAATGTATCATCATCTTCATTAGCATTGTCAGGTGTCTGACGAGAACTTAACTGTTCCAGTTCTTTTTTTAGAGCTTCCGTAACATGACGTTCTTTGTCCAGTTCTCTCCTTAACATCTGTGCCTCTGCAAACAGCGTTTCCTTTTGCCTAAGAAAGTTGTGGTTTCTTTGCTTTTCCTCTTCTAAATGTTCCCTTAGTTTTTGATTTTCCATTACAATAGACTCCGTGCTAGTACCTTTATCTTCTAAGTTTCTAATTTGTTGTCTTAGCTTCCTTAATTCTTCCTGAAGTGAGGCCAAAGCTTTTTCTTCCTTCTCTAGAGATTCTCTTAAGTGCTGATTTTCTGCAGCAAGACTTTTTTTCTGAGATTCAAAGGATTTCTTCTCCACCTCAGTAGAGGACAAACATGTGGCAAAATCTCCCTTGAGTGACTAATACAAGCGAAAAGAAACAAGCAAAAATACTACAATTAGAAACATTACAATTTCAGGTAGAAAGATGAAAGACCAAGTGTCCTGGTTTCAGCTGTAACAGTTATTTTTCTCCTTCCTAGTAGGTGGTGCAGTGCTGTGTTTTGGCTTTAGTCTGAGAACAATGCTGATAAAACACCAATGTTTTATTTGTTGCTTACAATAATGCTTACTCTGATCAAGGACTTTTCAGTCTCTCATGCTCTACCATTAAAAAGGGGTACAAAGAAGCTGGAAGGAAGCAGACAGGACACCTGTCCCAAACTAGCCAAAGGGATATTCCATATCACAGCACATCATGCACAGTATATAAACTGGGGGGGAGTTATCTGGGGGAAGGGCAGATAACTGCTTCGGTCAGGCTGGGTATCAGTCAGCAGGTGGTGAGCAACTGTACTGTGCATCACTCATGTCTACTGTTGTTTTCCTTTCCCCTTATAGTTTCATATTGTCTCCCCTTGTTATTTTCTTTATCATCATTATTACTATTAGCAGTAGTTTTGTATTATACTTTCGTTATTAGACTGTTCTTATCCCAACCCGTGGGGTTTACATTCCTGTGATTTTCTCCTCGCCATCCCGCCTGTATTGGGAAGGGGTGGGGATGTGGAGCAAACAGCTGCATAGTGCCAAATTCTGGTCTGGTTTAAGCCACGACACCAGGCTAGCCCAGGCAGAGTGTACTTGTCATTTTGGATGCAGTGACACTTGTTGCAGCAAGATGCAAAACCAGAGCTATCTTGTTTATCTTGGATATGTACACAAACACTTTCTTGGCAACAAAGATCATGTGAGAGGCTTCCCCTTCTAACCAGAGGTCATCATCCCTCGCTTGTATTGATTTAACTAGGTAA